TTTCAATTGGCTATTCTCAAAATTTAAGGTAAAACAGACAAAATCCAGCTAAGTTTGGGCGTGAAAAACTGACGTATCTGGGTCCACTAATGATACCAAATAACTGCTGGAGAAGGACAAATTAAAGCCTTAATCTAGAAGAAAAATCCTAATCTACTCATACTCAATGTATCATTCTTTTTAGTTAACTAGATTTTTTTTTTAAAAAGTTCAAATTAGAAAGTTATAATAGTTGGCATATAGTTGGAACTTGAAACCTCTCTGACTGACCAAAAATTAAAATATAAAAGGAAAAAATTCAAGCCTTCTAAATTTTCTAGAATTTTCTCTCTCTCTCTCTCTGTTTTTTTTTTTTTTTTTTTTTTTTTTTTTAAATAAATTGGCCAGGCGGATGCCCGTTGTGTGATAACATGATAGGTCCACAATGGCAGGTAGACTTTTAAATTTCCATAAATTTTCCAAATGTGCCTTTGCAATTTTGTATTCCTTACTTTCTCTGATATGTCCCTTGCCATTAATATCGCTTCCTTTCCTCGATAATTCCTTCTTCATAATGGTGGAAACTGGATACGACTGAGCGTATCTAATCCACTTAGCTAGCCGTTAGGCTGGGCATCAATTGGACATCGAGATGGGCTGGCCCAATGAATCCAATGTCTCAGTCCAAATTTGCTTCCTCACTTATGCAGGCCGGGCATAGGTTGTGATATCATTGATTTCCATCACCTCTCTTAACTTGTATAAAACCACCATTGCATGATACTCACAATTCAAAGTGTCTAAAGCCCCCTAAAGGAATCAAACTTCTCTTTAGTTTAAGAACATGCCTAACATTTGTCAATGTCCTCACAACTCCATCAAACATCTTCACCTTCACAGTACCTATTCCAACAGCTTTAGCACTATAATTATTAGCCATCAATAAAGTACCGGCATCACAAGACTTATAGGAATTAAACCACTCTTATATATGGGCACATATGAAACGAGCATCCAGAATCTAAGATCCAAGAGTCAGAAATATTTTTATCAGCAATAACAAAATACACATCATCTTCACTTTCATACATGTCGCCAACAACATTTGCAGAATCTGAAGTCTCTTGGGTTTCTTACTTTCTTCTTTCTTCTAGATGTTGCGTGAGTTCTTCACAGTTTCTCCTAATATGTCCCTTCTTATGACAGTAGTAGCACTCAATATCATTTCTTGGACTAGATTTGGAACGATCATTTCTTTTATCATAATATCTCCCTCCTGACTTGCTCGTACCCTTATTTGAATTTGTTTTCGCCACTAAAACTTGTTCAGTATCAGACATACTACTAGGTTTTTTCATATTTACAGTCTTTAATATAATAGTTGACACCTCATCCACAATCAACGTCGTCTTTCCAACTAAAAGTGTAGTCACCAAAGTCTCATATGATTTGGGTAGGGAGGCCAACAAAATTACCGCCTTATTTTCTTCATCAATTTTGACCTCTACACTTAATAACTGAGTTATGAGCCTACTAAAATTATTTATATGATCCCTAACATCAGTTTTCTCACCATCTTTAACTCATACAATTGTTTCTTCAAATAAAACCTACTTGTTAAGGATTTCGACATATAAATTTTTCTAATTTTTCCATAACTTAGAATGCGATGTTTCATTCATAACACTATATTTTAGTTTATGAGCCAAATTTAAACGAATAGTGCTTACTGCTCTCGCTTCTAATTCTTTACAATCTTCATTTTTCATCTTTTCCGGCTTCTTTCCTTGCAACGCTTCCAGTAGTCTCTGCTGAATCAAAACATCTTTTACCGTACTCTAACAGATGCTGAAATTACTCTTTCCATCAAACCACTAAATATGCTCAAACTTTATCCCAAACATCATCTTGACTTTTCTTTTATTCACCACAGCTCTGATACTAGTTGTTGGGGAAAAAACACACTTATACACCCACGCAGCAGAAAAATAGATTGAAATAAAAATAACAGAAAAATAGATAAGACACAGATTTAGGTGATTCCGAAAAATTTCTTACATCCAAGGGAGAGGGAGAAAATAATTCATTAACAGTTTTAGAATTACACTCTCAACACACTTTTTTACTCTCTCTTTCTACCCAAAACCTCTTATACATTTATCTATCTCTCTCCTCACTTTTCTCTCTCTCTTAAAATGAGGCACTCTTTCTCTGCATTTTTCTCTGAGTACACTTTTATCTAAACACATATAAAGCCTTACACAAAGTACTTATTTATATATTCTTAATAAGCCATAAAATAACTCTTGTCTAAAAAACTGAAAACAGTAACTTACACAATAACATAAAATCGTTACTTTTTTAAAACTAATTTGAGTCACTTATCAAATAAGATGAATAAATTATTTTATTGCCAAATTCAATACGGAGAATTCTTCTCTCTGCACCCCAAATGTTCAACCTTTGTTTTTTGTGTTTTCCATCAGCATCTGAAACCATTTCGACTACGACTATAGCTTTCCCTTGGATGACAATCATAGATATGCAACTCTTTAATAGTTATGTTTTTACTGCGGTAGGGGACGGGATTTATTTGTTTAGTGAAATCTGTTTAAGCTATCTCTTTCTTTAGGATTACTGAGTTAGAGTTTTTTGCTAATCATTTTATTTAAGATTCTCAATTTTCTTTTTAAAATGGACTTATCAATTTAAAAAATGAAACTCCTCAAAACAATAAAAAAATGATATAGAAATAGAAGTTGAATAAGGAAACCTCGCGTGGTGCTAAGAAACCTGTCTCACTCCACTCCATTTGTTTATGGAGTGAGAAATTTAGAAATTTCTGCGTTTAGAATTAGTTATTAACTGTTTTTTAAAACGTCTTTACATGTCTTTTAAGACACAAAAATGAACTTTTGTAAACTGTATTTGTTTAGCAAATAGTTTAAAAATGAGAAGGAAAACAAAAAAAAAGTGAGAATATATATATTTTTTTAGTGAAGGGAGAATGATTTTTATTAAGAAACCAGAAAATGAATGAAAGTTGTTCTCCCTTTCCACTTCCATTTTCAAGTTTTTATGAACATTATTATGTTAAATAATTAATTACTAATTTTTAATTACCAAAAATAATATATTATTTTAATAATTAAAATATAGTTAATAATTACTTAATTATTATTTAAATATTAATTTCTTTTTGTTAAATTTGTAATACATATTAATAACAATAATGAATAAATAAATAGCAATTACTCAATTAATAATGAATTAGTATTTAAAGAGTAATTACCAAAAATTGATAATGTAGTGATCAATTAATAGGTCATTAAATAAACATTAGTAATTAATTAACTATTTATTTAATTATGTAATTAAATGCTAATTATTGAATTAGTGAATAGTATACTAATATATTATTTATTTAATAATTATTATTTTTTATTAATACACTAATTTACTACTTATAAACTAATGATTACACTATTACTTATTAATATATTTATTATTAATTATTATTTTAAAATTATTTTGCATATTTCTTTATTAGTATATATATAATTTAATTCACAATATACTCATTACTAATAATATATCTATTATTGTTATGTTCCTAATAATTAATTTTTATTTGCTAATTGATTATTAATTATTAGTTACTTGATATATTAATTTAATATTATTAATTACACATACACAAAATAAAATTTTATATTTATAATAAAACACAATTTCACTTTTTTATTACACTTAAAATAATCTCTTTAAAATCCAACCAAAAATAATTTCTCAATCGATCTCAATACCATCCTCAAAAGATTCTCATATTCACTTTTATACTCAAAACACAACGATTTTAAAAACGCTACCAAAAAGTCCAATATTGATATTCATCGTGGGATGGGTAAGAGCAAAGGGTTTGGCAACAAGCAAACCGCTTTCTATCATAATTTTAAGGGTTTCAAATCTTAATTAAGTACTAAAGGGATCGTATTTATGGATCTTACACACGTATTCTGTTAGTTAAAATGGTGATCATTGCTAATATGAAATTCTATTTTTCTTTAAGCATTAGAATGTTTAGCTTTAAATATTGTTATCTAAAAATTAAATCGCATGTTTTGATTCAAATGTGCATTTCAGTGCATCTATTTTTTATTTATATTTTAAAACTTATTTTTTGGTTTATTAAAGAAATTCCAGGTTTTTCCTCTTTTTTTTTTCCTGAGCATTTCTATAATTAAATTAGTAAAAGAAATAAACAATGATAGTTAGATGGTAATTTGTTACACACTTTAAATATATTGGTTGGTATTTGATGATGTACATTAAATTATATAATATTTTGTTTATTTAAACTCAAAACAGAGGACACATTTATAAAAATTTTAAGTAAATTTTTAGTAAACTACTTGAGGGAACAGGAAAATTCAGATTTTTTGTTTTTTTGTTTTTTTCTGATGACGAAAATTCAGATCTTAAAATAGAGAAGGGCACTCCTAATATGAATTGTCTCTGGTGAGGTATTTGGAAAGTGCCTGACCAGTCAAGTACTTGTATAATTATGTATAAATTGTATATATTTATACATAAATTATGTGTATTTACATATAAAGTCGTATATATTTAATATGAAATACAATAAATCAGTCAATATACATATTTTTATATTATGTGTTCACTAATTGTTATAAAAAAAACATGTTTTGAGAATTAATATACATTGTCGTTTCTTATAACTTAACATACATGATTTATATATAAATATACACGATTTACATGTAAATATATACGATTGTATAATTATACAAGTGTCATATAAATATACATAACTTATTTATAAATATACACAATTTATTATAAATATACACACTTCATATAAAAATGTACGAATATCATTCTGGTCAAACACTTTTTAAGTGCCTGACAGAGACCTTGTGTGTGTGTGTGTGTGTGTGTGTGTGTGTGTGTGTATATATATATATATAAATATAAATGAAAGGCAAAGTGAAACCGACGAAAATATCTTCTTTCTTCTTCTTCTTCTTAAAACAAGATATAACTTGAAAGCCTCTCTTATCTCTTCCAGAGAGAGCGGGGGAAAAAAATGCAGGCCTCAATGTGTATGACAACTTTACCGTCTTCTTCTCACTCACTTCTTAAACCAAGTCACAATCCTCTTATTAGCCATACTTTGTCTTCTTTTTCTTCTTCTTCTTCTTCAAGAAGAAAAGCGTCTTATTTAACCACCAGAGCACTTCTATCAACTTCAAAAGAACTGGTCTTGAGAGAGTTTCATGAACGCAAAGCTCTCAAGGTAAGGATTGACAAAATCCCATTTCGATTATCGGCTCAGTTGCATTGTTTTTTTTTGTTTGTTTGTTTTTTTCTGTTTGGTTAATGAGAAAACTTGGTAAAGGAAATATAATTTTTTCGTCATTTAGTCCTCTGAATTTTTATTTTTCTGGTTTTTTGTGAAACTAGTGTATTTGGTTCAGAGCAGTGATATAAGTGGTTGAATTTGATACTTTCGTTTAAAAGGGAATTTGATTTGGTTAAGATAACTCTATACTTTTGCCACTGAAAATACATATTATTTTATGCAATTTCGTCTAATATAATTATGTTGGATTGTTTCCTGACAGATTATCTCAGGCTTGCAGAATTTTGATAAGGAAAATGTTGCCTCAGTTGTGACTGCTGCAGACAAGGTTTGATCTCATAACCAACTTAATTGGTCAATATACAAAGCTTTCTTTAATTCTTCTGTTTTATGCTTTTTTGAAAAATTATCGTTTTTCCTAATAATAATATTGCATATCTTCATGATGTCATTTTCATTCATAGGGAGGAGCAACTCATGTGGATATAGCTTGTGATCCAGAATTGGTGAAACTTGCAACTAGTTTAACTTCTCTTCCTGTAAGTTAATTAATAGTACATTCAATTATCAGTGTATGGTTTGTGATTTGTTGGTTGACAATCGCTGCCTTGAGTAATATGTTTTTTATTGATAGAAGAGTAAAATGGATTTAATGTTATGCATACCCCTCTTTAACTTCATTTTACTAGCCAAATTACTATGCATATCAAAGCAGAATTTCATAAAAAGACTATCAGCATCTAATGAAACCATAAAAACTCAAATTTCTTGAGTACCTAATGTTTTCATGGACTTGAGAAAAAACCCACCGCCATATCGCACATTAACTCCTTGTGTCATTGTTCGAAAGATTTCAAATTGACTAAACATACCCTCTCTTGTCAGGTCTGCGTTTCTTCGGTAGACCCAGCTGCATTTCCGGCTGCTGTCGAAGCTGGAGCAATGATGGTTTGGAAACAAATCTTGTTACATTTGAATTACAATTCGTCGAATGATTTATTGACTTATTACATCTCAACAATATGCTCAACGATTAAATTCGGGTTGTAGTAGTGCTTTGTTGATTTGTGATAATAAAGCTTAGTGCATATGCAGGTTGAGATTGGAAATTATGATTCATTTTATGAGAGAGGCGTTATTTTCTCGCCAGAGCAGGTACAAATTCAAACCTTACAACATCTGACAAAGCCAAGAAAGAGAAATATTTAATGTTTTTCTCACAGCCAAATCTTGTCCCGAGGAATACTTACCAGCATAGACCACTTATTTGGCTTTTATTTGCTAGAAAACGTTACGAAGAATTCTTTTCTTCTTACATACGTGAGTTCTGCTTGTTGCAGATATTGAATCTAACAAAGGAGACCAAGAGGATCCTTCCATCCGTGACCTTATCGGTCACTGTGCCTCATACGCTAAGCCTCCCTGATCAGGTCAAAAACAGCATTTTTCAAGGATCTTCACCTATATTTTCCATGGTTTATTCAGTTACCAAAGAGTCTTTAACAAAAACAGGTCAAGCTTGCTGAGCTTCTGGAGCAGGAAGGTGTTGACCTCATTCAAACTGAAGGAGGAAAATGCTCTAACCCTTCAAAATCCGGCATCCTTGGTTTGATCGAGAAGGTAATAAATATGCCTTTTCAGTTTACGTGCAACTTTCGAAATAAATGAGAAAAAAATTGAGTTTTCAAACTGCTTAGCTCTCATGATATAGGACATTTCAAAATCCAAAATGACCTTTAATCACCAAGGTACTACCAATGACTTTTAACTACTTGCACCTTTTTTACTCGAGTATGAAAATTTTGAAAGGGGGAATTTTCTTGGCTAATTGCTTGGATGAACATTTGTAAACTTTCAGTTTCAGGACCTGTACAGAGCTTGTCTTCTTATATTAGGCGTTTATTTTTACAAAGCATAATTGATCATGATACCTGGTTAATTTTCAGGCAACACCAACACTGGCAGCAGCGTATTCCATCTCGCGGGCTGTCAAGATTCCTGTCATGTGTTCGTCTGGACTAAGCGCTGTCACGGCACCAATGGCCATCACAGCTGGAGCTGCCGGTGTGGTATGTATTTCATTTCACCGTTTTATCTCACTGATTCTGTCTTCCAGTTTTTGTTACTTTAAACTGATATTGTGATTTGTATTGTTTAATGCAGGGGGTTGGATCAGTCATAAACAAGCTTAACGACGTTGTTGCGATGATTGCCGAGGTCAAGAGCATTTCCAATTCATTAACGTCAGCTGAGAGGCGGGCTGCAACTGAAGAACAGAGTGTAAAAGTGTAACTCTATGTTTCTTGTTTATTAGAAAGGCTCGCTAGTTTTGGACTTCAGAGCGGAAAGTTAAATGTAAGTTTTGGACCCCTAGGTTACAACCAGCAAAATCCATAATTTTGTACTGGGATTATAAATTTATGGACTTAGAAGTCAATAAAGGCGCAGAGCAGATTTCTCATCAGCATATGGATTTTTTTTTTTTTAAAGCCCTACTAATAGATGTAGCATATGGGCATTGGATGTGTTTATTTTTATACCATTCTCATTTAAAATCAACTGATTCAAATATTTTGAATTTCATAATAAAGGAATAGCACCTTTCGTTTAAGAAAAACGAAAATTTACTCTGAAAGTGAATGAATCTAAACTTTAATCTTTTACTTTTAATAAATATTTTTTTTATTAGTGTAATTATTTAACTATAAAAGTTATAAATCAAGAATAAAAGATAAAAATTATGACTTATGTACTTTTAAAAGATATTTGTCAAGATTATCATTTTTTTTATCTATTTATTTATTTATTTATTTTCAAGAAGTGTTACAAGAATGAAAGATGGCTAAAGAGGTAAAATATCTCCCATTTTGAAGAACGAAAAGAAAAATCTCGTACTGAATTCGAAGTATCATGCTATTATTACTTAATATTCATATTTGATATATCGCAAAAACATAATTTTCTTTTTTCCCCTCCTCAAAACAAATGAAAAGCTCATTAGCACAGAGCGTGAAGGGGTGTAAATAGTAATATATGAATTTCTCGCAAAACGAATTGTCCATGGACCATATATTTCAGTGGTGGGACTAAATCAAAATACAAGATACCAATAAAGAGAGAAATCTAGTCATTACCTCCATGCAATTTGCAAACCTGATTTACACAGAATGTTTGAGATAATTGTCTTGAGAAGACAAACAACTCAATTGCCTACGACCTCTACATAAATACCATTTCTTTCTTTCAAAAATCAAAATATCAACAATCTTAAGGCCTATTCATCGAACTCCGAGTCATCGTCCTCAGTTTCTTCATCTTCACCACTTTCCTGCAAGAAAAGCCATGTTTTAAAACATTTCAAGCAAAAAGGGAAAAAAAATGTTTGTAGACATGCGTAACATATAACACATAAAAATGTCGAATCATGACAACCTTTCTCTTGATATATTCTGCCGTGGCTCTATCAAACTCCGCTCGTTTCTCAGTAGCGATGTCATAATATTGAACCTTTTCCTGTAATAAACAGAACAAATAAAAATGCTATGAACTTCTTCGGCGACAATCAACTTATCACGCATTTACTTTTCCAATTGTTGAACAGCTAGGAAGATAATTTCACGTGAGAAACATGAACATTGAACAGTCATTCGGCAAACAAAAAAAAAAGGTTCAAACGCTGTAAGATAAAGCAAAAGTAAGACACTCATGGCAATTTAAAGTACATACATTAAAAATTTACATGTAAGATTTAACATATTAAGTGTCAGCATCCGAACTGAGTTGCAAATGCTTGGGAACAAAACGTATTAGCTAACCACCATCCGATACTTGGTTTAGTTTTCCAAGATAAAACCATAGGGTTCCACTGAACCAATAACAAAAGTACCAAATAAAGTAAAAAAAAGGTTGAGAAATCAATTTCATGTACTAATGTAGTACCAACCTCGTACGTCATTGTTTTCCACTTCTCTCCACACGCCTTTCCTATCTGAACAGGGAAAAAATGAACGGTGTGCAATAAAGTGAATGAAGGAGTGACCGGGACAAAAGATAATCAAATCAACAAGTTGAGGACAGATCTAAAAGAAGTAATAGAATGGGATATATGCTACACTAGTACTCTTACATCTCGCATTGATTTGACACCTGGATTTTGCTTTTGAAACTCCTTCCGGAAGTCCTCCCTTGAAAATTATAACAAAATTCGTAAGAATCCTGAAATGGTTCTTTCCATATAACAAGGCCTTTCATACTAAGGTTTCTACAGTAATGGTTTGATTGAGAAACAGCCGACATTTCTAGCATAAATACAAAAGATCAAACAGAAACGGTAAGATGTTCCTGACAACTCAAATCCACGTAAATACAAGGAAGTGACACAAGAACTATAACCTGGCTGACAATGCACAGAAATAATTGAAACAACATCTGAAAAGAAGTGCAGGACCAAGAATTTGAAAAATTAAACAAAATCCAATAAGGAAGATCATTTGTTTATCCTGCTACCCCTTTATAGAAATAGGTTAACAAGATATCATTCAAAATAAGATCATGGAATTAAGGCATGAGTTTGTTAGTTTTGGGTTCAGAAATGACCGGAAAGCAAATTCTCAATCACTAAAGCAGATTCAAGGACCATGGAACTGGCGAACTTGGCATGAGATCATAATTTCATCCATTATTCAGTTTATGGTTAATACGCGAGTCCAGTCACTGGAAAGGTTCAGGGTCTGTACGGGGTTGGTTTACTATGTCGTAGCCACACTTTTTCTATTCTGATGGTCAATTTGCAAAGAAAAACTCAAAGGTCTTTTAGGTGAAAGCTTCATTAATTCAAGGGAACATAGATACAACAATATTATTAAGCTCCTTTTCAACAATCTTGGCTCATAACTAGTAATTTAATAAAGAAGGAAGATAACCCCACTTATTAAATTTATGCTGCTCACATCTTTCTAAAGAAGAATAATCAATACCCAAAACAGAGCTTTGAAGATCACTGCTATATGACATGTTGGAGAATTTGAGTGTAGAGGGTGAAAAGAATGCAGAAAACAAGAGAGGGTTTGAGGCGTATAGGAATACTTTCCTTTAAGGTTTTATTTTCCCTCACTTCTCAAAGTTTGCTAATGAGTTTTAATGGCAAATTACCCCTAATATACAACAAACGCTTGAACACAATATCTAGCAATAATATTGAGTTCCAAAACATGAATGAATGCATCATCTTTAAACATTACAACCATTCACATAAAGGTACATTTTCAATGTAAAGGTATCTTTTCATGGATTAATACACCTATTGCTATAGTTAAATCTATTACTAATTGGTGTTCAAATATGTATGAAAACATATCACCAATGGATGTTGAAAGCAGGAATAATACTTTCTGTTTTCTATTCACATTAAATTCTGTACATAAGGCTTCTATTTATAATACAATTGTGAAAACTAAATCTCCTAAAAACATGGCCTAGAGAATAGGAAGGTTATTTGCTGAATCAAACCAAATCAGGAAACACCTTATCCTAAATCCAGAAACCGATTCTCAGCCTAAAGATCCGGGATTTCAACACTCCCCCTCAAGTTGGATCATAGATGTTGATCATGTCCAACTTGTTTAAGAAATCATCGAATTTTTGTCTTATGAGCCCTTTGGTGAAGATGTCAGCCGTCCGATCTTGAGTAGGAACGTAGGTCATGCAAATGATTCCCTTTTCCACTTTCTCTTTGATGAAATGTCTATCAACTTCCACGTGCTTGGTCCTGTCATGTTGGACAAGATTAAGAGATATGTTGATTGATGCTTTGTTATCACAGTAGAGTTTAACTGGGAACTCTACTGTGACTTGAAATTCTTCTAGGAGTTTTTTCAGCCATAGTGCTTCACATATTCCTTGAGCAACTGCCTTAAACTCTGCTTCAGCACTGCTTCGAGCCACCACATTCTGCTTCTCACTCCTCCAGGTTACTAGGTTCCCCCATACAAACGTACAATATCCTGAGGTGGACCTTCTGTCTTCAATCGAGCCTGCCCAGTCTGCATCTGTGTAGACTTCTATTCCCCGGCAGTCGGTTTTTTTGAAGAGTAGTCCTCTGCCAGGTGAGCCCTTGAGATATCTGAGTATCTTGTATACTGCCTCCAGATGAGCTTCCCTTGGTGAGTGCATGTGTTGACTCACTGCACTTACTGCAAATGCAATATCAGGTCTGGTATGAGACAAGTATATTAGTTTGCCTACTAGTCTTTGATATCTGTCTTTGTCAACCATCTTTCCAGCATCTTCAGTCTTCTTTCCCACTTCAATAGGGGTGTCACTAGGTTTGCATCCAAGCATACCGGTCTCCGTGAGTAGATCAAGGACATATTTTCTTTGGGAGACACTGATCCCTTTCTTTGATCTAGCAACTTCCATTCTCAAGTTTTCAAAAAATGTAACATCATGACTAACAAATACTCTTTTTGTGGAAGGATCAAAGCATTTGTAGCCCTTTTGTGTAGGGGAATATCCAATGAAAACACACTTAGTGGCTCTCGGATCCAGCTTACTTCGGTTTTGAGAGTGAACATGGACAAACGTGGTGTAGCCAAACACCTTAAGAGGTAAATTTGAGTGTAAACGAGTAGTGGGGAAGACTTTCTTAAGGGTGTTGAGAGGAGTATCAAACGAAAGGACTCGACTGGGCATTCTATTGATAAGATAGGCGGATGTCAAAATGGCATCCCTCCAGAACATTTTTGGCATGTGGGCAGTGAACATCAAGGCTCGGGCTACCTCAAGTAAGTGTTTGTTTTTCCGTTCGGCAACTCCATTTTGTTGTGGAGTGTCAACACATGAACTCTGGTGAATAATCCCATTTGTCATGAGAAATTCTCCTGAGATAGTGTTGAAATACTCCGTCCCATTATCTGTCCGCAAAATTCGGATTTTAGTTTGAAATTGTGTTTAGACCATGGAGTAAAAGGTTTTGAACACCTCATGGACATTTGTTTTGTCTTTTACGAGGTAAACCCAACAAACCCTAGAGTGATCATCAATAAATTTTACGAACCATTTTGTGTAAGTGCGAGTAGATACCCCATAGATCACTGTGAATCATAGTAAAAGGTTTAGAAGGTTGGTACATTGATTTTTTAAATGAAGAACATTGGTGTTTAGCTAGCTGACACATTTCACACTGAAAATCAAGGACATTTTTATTGAAAGAAATAGAAGGAAACAGGTGTTCATGTACTGGAAACTAGGATGGCCCATTCTAAAGTGCCATAACATTATTTCACTATCCCTAAAAGTGAATGCAGAATCGCAAATTGCAGTATGAAGCTGTCCACTTGTCTCGGCCTCATCTAGATAGTAGAGACCCTCACATTCTTTAGCACTGCCAATCGTCCTCCCCGATGATAGGTCTTGAAATACACAGTGAGAATGGAAAAATTTAGCACAACAGTTGGAGGTTTTTGTCAATTGGCTGATTGATAATAAATTGCAAGATAGGTTAGGGACATGAAGAACAGTTTCTAGGATCAAGGAATCAGAGATTTTGATTGTCCCTTTTCCTGCAACTGTTGAGAGAGAACCATCTGCAATTTTTACTTTGACATTGCCGGCACAAGGTGAGTATGTGGAAAAAATTTTGTAGTTGCTGGTCATATGGTCAGATGCGCCAGAATCGACGATCCAGGAAATTCTGTTTTGGTGAACAATATTCAGGGCCTTCAGAAAATTACCTTTGTGGGCTAGAGAACCAGTGGACACATTATTGGAGGACTGACCATTAGATTGGAAATTTGAGAACATCTTGTAAAGCTGTTCCATCTGTTCATGACTGAATGAAGTTTTTGCTTGAGAATTGCTGCTATCAACATCCGTTTTTCTATCCTTCTGATCATCAACCGAGGCTTGATATCCTCGATTTTTGTTGTTCATTTGCTGTGGCTTCCAATCCGGTGGTTTCCCGTGCAGTTCCCAACATGTATCCTTAGTGTGACTAGTCTTGTGACAATGCTCACACCATGGTTTTTTCCTTTGCTGACTCTGGCCTGGTCCATTCAGTCCCCTTTTTGTCATCAGTGCAGTCGTTTCTGGTCCAGAACCAGTGAGTGCAGTGGAGGCAGGGAGTTTCAGCATTACCTTGCGCCTACTCTCTTCTCGTCTTACCTCGGAAAAAACTTCACGGATTGAGGGCAACGGTCTTCGACCTAGGATTCTTCCTCTTACTTCATCTAATTCTCGGTTCAACCTAGCCAGAAATTCAAAAACTCTCTCATTCTCCAGCCTCTTCTTAAATCTTACGCTGTCTCCAAGACATTCCCAATCTTCCTCGTAACTCAGATCCAGTTCTTGCCAGAGAGACTTCATCTATGTGTGTAGTATTCAGTAACCTTTTTTTCCTCCTGTTTCATTTGCCATAACCGAGTCTTAATCTCGAATATTTGGGAAGAGTTTTCCACGTCAGAGTATGTTTCTCTCACGGCATCCTAGACATCCTTTGCGGTAGGAAGAAACATATAAGTTTTCCCAATTGTGGGCTTCATCGAGTTGACCAGCCATGCGGTTACCATCGAGTTTTCTGACTTCCACTTCTGAAAGGAGGCATCGATAGAGGATGGCTTCTTGGTTTCTCCGGTGAGATATCCCAACTTACCTTTTCCATCAATTACCAGTTTGATCGATTGAGCCCATTCGAGAAAATTCTTCCCGTTAAGTTTCTCAACCGTGAACTGAAAAGTGGAATTCTCGGATCCACTCGACGTCATGGTGTTGGTGACCGCCGCCCCTGTTTCGCCCGTGGTTGCTGAAGACATTGATTCCTCCATTGAATGCCAAGGTTAGGGTTTCCTCGGCTCTGATACCATGTTAGTTTACCAATCCATCCTAAAAGCTTAAGCGGTTAGGAGGTGGGCCAACAATAGTTTTATACTTTAACACTCCCCCTCACGTGTGGGCTGGATAATGGGCAATCGTGTGGGTAAATTAATTGAAAAGCCCAACACGTGAATATTTAAGCCCGAGATATATTAAAAACCCAACACGTGATGACAATTTAAATAGGGATAAATAGTGCAATTACGGAGGTTTGAACTCAGGACCTCCCGCTCTGATACCATGAAAGCAGGAATAATACTTTCTGTTTTCTATTCACATTAAATTCTGTACATAGGGCTTCTATTTATAATACAATTGTGAAAACTAAATCTCCTAAAAACGTGGCCTAGAGAATAGGAAGGTTATTTGCTGAATCAAACCAAATCAGGAAACACTTATCCTAAATCCAGAAACTGATTCTCAGCCTAAAGATCCGGGATTTCAACAGATGTAATGGTTCGAAACGTTTTAGATCACATAAACTCATGAAAACATTGTTTTCTGCATAATTTCTGCTGCAGCGGATGTTTTCCCGCTGGACTCGAGACATGTAAACATTTCGGCTGCAACCAAAATATTTCGGCTACAGCCGATTTGGCCAAATCAAAGCAGTTTGTCTGCTGCAACTTTTTGAAGTCCCTTTAACACGAGTTTTCATGTTTTAATACTCAAACAACTTGTGATCTTGATCAAGACATATTACAATCTCTCTAACATGACAAAGACAAGGCATGCAGATGACATGCCATATAATTATCTACCTTTTCTTTTCCATCAATTTAATGAAAATTATATGAAGATAAACTATCAAGCCTAATTTCAACGCAGAAAACAACCAAATTATACCAACAAAATCCTACGCCACAACTCAGCCCAAAATTCAAAATTTTTAACATAGTAACTCCATCGTATATATATTCTGTTTAAGTATTGCGACATTTGCGAAATAAGATGGTCAACATTCAACAAAAATCAACTATTTTCTTCTGCTTGAGACCACCTGAACGTACATACACAACTTATAATCTTGGCCTAAAGTCTAAAATATCAAAGTTGCCTGACGAAAAATGTCATGAACTAAAGATTCCTGGTGAGTACAAATGCAATCATTTCATTTACACACTCAACAAGTTCAAGCAAAGCAAGCACTTCCTTAGTATTTGGTCTCATGAAGCTAATAAAATGTACATTTCTAGCAATAGAAAAATCCATAACTAATAACAAACGATAAAAGAAAGAAAGAAGAACTTACAAGAAGTAGAAGAAAGCTGTTGGAGGCTTCTTAGGCTTCTTGGCATCGAAATTCTTGCTTTTGTTTTTCTTCTTCTGCTTGGTTTTCGCCTTCTTCACTGTCGTTTCCTCATTGTTGATACTACTACTACTCAGACTTGCCAACCTTTTATTCCCCTCGATTGTTCTTACCCTCAAAACCATTCTCCTAAAATTGTTCAAATTCAACCAAACAAAACATATTTTTCAATTATCAAAAGAAAAAAATAACACACACACAAATTTTCTCTCCTTTATTTGCTAATTTTACACAGACCACCACTCAACTAAGCCTAGTACCACTCACTGTGGAAATGGGTTCCCCTTTTTAACAAACCCAAAAAAGAATAACCCAGAACAAAAAAAAAAAAAAAAAAAACCTTTTTTTTGTTTTTTATTTCTTGGGTTTTTT